AACATCAATATGAATTAAAAATCGATGCGCCGGATAGCGATAAGCTGTTGTGCTACCATAATAGTAGTTGTTAAATATTGTTATTTCATGTCAGCTTTTAAAAAACAATTCATGTAGGTGTATCATGGTTCCAAAAAATCTATCTAAAATAAAATATATGGCAGATTTTTCTTGAATGGCTTTTAGTGTATGATAAAGCAGTGAGTTTCAATGATAACACTACCTATTAATCATTTTTAACAATCGACACCAACATGAAGGTAAGTCAAATGCTACAACATTAGTAACTTAAGTAACAACATTATGCAAAATATTATTAAAAGATATTATTATGTGCTTTCAGAATAATTAATAATAAAGACTAGACAACACCTAGAACTAAAGCAGTAACACCGATTGATTGGCAAGGTTGACAAATCTTGCTCTGCACATTTGCCAAGTCACACCACTTTAAAAACATGGAAACAACATAACATAAACATATATACTAATTATAAAACAAAATATGTTTATTTAACTTTTTATAACATATATAAACATCTCATATAAAATTTATATACACATTACTATGTGTATATAAATTACATTAAATATATTTTATACTATTATAAAAACTTATTTTTAAAACAACCAAATAACAAATATTACCATATACATATATTTATCAAAAACCTTTTAACTTTGAACATAATATAAACATATATAAAAACTATAAACATATATAACTTGAATAGCGCAAACAAAAAATTTAAAATTAATATGAGAAAATCTATAAAGATTCATATATATATTTATATATAAAGATATCTCGTAGTAAAATATCAAATTATAATCATATTTGATATAAATCAAAGTCTTATTGAACAAAGAACAAAAAACAAATAAAAAGAACTGCAATCCTCATAAAAAAATTTAATCTTTACAAACTACAAAATGTCAAAATTGGCTCTAAATTTTAATTTATTTATCTAAATTTTCTATAAGAGAACAAAAAAAAGGTAATAGCATCACAGAAATGTCAATAGAATAATAATCAACGTAATAAAATAAGCAAGGTATGAAATGATAGGATTTATTGTATATTTGAATTTAATTATTTAGGACTTCTTAAATAAATAAATTTAAAAGTAGTAATAAAAAATTTTATAATTTATCTAATATTTCTTAACTAATAAATAATAGTTCCAAAAAGTAAAAAGTTTTAACTTACTTAGTAGGGTAGAGCGGGGCATATCGGGACAGCGGGGCAAAAAGGGGATAGTTATACCTGAAGCCTTACATCTCAGCTAAAAATATTTTTTTTTCAAAAATTTTTTTAGATATAACATTCCAAATTATTGTGCTTCATTATTGTAAAAAAAAAAAATTAATTTTAGAAATAACAAAATGCATTAAAAATACTAAAATGCATCAGTTAGTTTGCGAAAAACAAAATTTGCGTATTTGCTTAATCGATAGAGCGACAAAAGATTTATCTTGAACTCTTGCGAATTTGGTTTTTTTTATAAAAAGTTTATATTTTTCAGACAGTGTTTGTTATCCTCTTTTAGAATCCGGTTTCAAAAAAATATTTGGAATTGAACTTTTTAAATAGTACTAATTTCAGTAAAATGACCTCTGTGGGGCATATCGGGACAACAAAAGTATTTATATAACTGAGTGTATAACTACCATTTTGCGATACTGTTTACAGTTTGATGATTTTATTTTTTATTTGAAATATATATTTTTTTAATTTAGAAAATCAATTTTAGTCATAAATTCAAAGAAATTTTTTATTTTTAAAACTTAACTTTGATTATTAATAGTATTTAATGTAAACAAAAAAGGTAACAAACTATATAAGAAAAATCGATCATCCAAAACGGGATGAAATTCGGTTTTAGTTGTGAGTAAACAGAAACTTAGAATTAAAAAAAGCTACTGATACATATGGCATATTTCTAATAAGCCAGCTCATTAAAAATGTTGCCGAACAGTTTCATACTTTTTGTGTGATTAATGTGATCCATAAAATTTTTTGTTTATTTTCAAATTTAGTAGCAGTTACCAATTTAATAATATATAGGTTAGAGTAAAGCCAAAGTATTTTATAATAAAACACACAAAAAAATACTTTATTTCAGCTGTTATTTCTTTTTTGAAGTGTATGGGTGTATGGGTGAGTAGTTTTTATGGGTGTGTTACTTTTTATAGAGTTTAATGTCTGAACATATTTAGGCAATAGATAGGCTTCATTTTTCATCATTTTTAAAGCTTTACAATTGACGAACAACTGCTTCTTTTTAACTGTCCCGTTTTACCCCACCCACTTGCAAAATGTAAAAGTTTTGCAAGTCTAGAGTTTCAAAATTTATAAAAAACAGTGTTAACTGTGATTAGTTTATCCGCTACTAGCATTTGTTTCTTAAGTGTCCCTATATGTCCCGCTCTACCCTAGATCTTTTTTGAATGACCACGTGCATTTGAGAAGGCGCTCTTTCAAGAAAGCCTAGTAACTAATTAAAATTTCTTTAAAAACGAAAGTGAAGCGACATTACTATTAAATTACAGTATAAATATTAGGAATAATAACTTGTTCTTATTATCCAACAACATTACAATTGTAAGTTATAATTATAATCATTATAATTACAACTTACTATTGTAATTTTTTGTCCATTATAATAATGGATCATAAATTATATCATAATTCACCATTAAATTATGTATAAGTAATAATGTATACATTATTACTTATACACAATTTCTTAGTAATAATACTACTAATAAATTATTAGTAATAATGTATAATAATGTAATAGATAATGTATTACAATATAATAATGTATTTTAATAATGTACATTATTATTTAATATAATTAATATTAAATAATGTACATTTAAAAATATAGTGTATTATTAATTATTATTATTATTAATAATAATGATTATTAAGTAATTACTAATACATTATTAGCCCCACCCTTTTATTTTTCAAAAATGCTAAAACTTTTATGATATACATTTCTAAAAAGAATATACATTTCTAAAGCTTCTATGATATACATTTCTAAAAAGAAATGCCACAAAAAAATGCTTCTCTGGCGCTATTTAAAAAAAGTTCAAAAAAACGTGGCACAGAATTTTAGCCCTTTTTTTGGCTCCGCAAAATGCGATATTCGCGAACCTACATTAGGATCAAGAGTGTTATTACGCTCCATTTTTACAAAAATTATTTTTTTGTCATATTAGAGCTATAGCTTACCAAAAGCAACCATACAAGAGGTGAATAGTTTAGTTACAAAATGGCATAAGAAAATTTACTCAACTCAAAAAAGTATTAAAGATGTGAGGTTCCTTGTAAAAATAAAAAAATTACTTTTTTTCATCAAAATCAAACTTTTTAGAAATAAATTTAATAGTTGTCTATTCTCTAACCAAAGCACAAATAATTTTAAAGACAATATTTATAACACGCTGGTTATTAGACCTCTTTATTAAGTTATGTAAATATGGAGAACAGCGCTTACGGATCAAGGGTGCAAGTTCTCCTCTACGCATCCGAAATAACAATGCGTCCGAAATATGCATAACTTACGTTATATCTTTTAACTTTGGTTTCAATCAGGATTGATATAAATGTTACTATACCTGTTTATCAAACTTTTAAGGGTTTTTGCGGCATTTAAAACAGAATTTCATTTGATTTTATTATTAAGAACAACAACAAATGGCTGTTCTTCATCAGATTTTGTTTTGAACTTATTTTGCTTAGCTTCATTTGTTGATTCAGCTAATTTAAATATATTTAGAAAAGATTTTCTGTCTTGTTATTCAGTACTTTCTGTATGGAAATCTTATGATGTACTAATGCCAATTGTTATCACATTGTTTTCAAGCTAATTCGCTTAAAAAACCTTTTGTTTTTATATTATTTAGATTGCTAGAACCACCAAATCAAATTATTTTAAATATAAAGCAAAGTAGTGGGATTAAGACACTTGAAAGATTGATCATGCAAATGAGATATATTGTTTTTAAGACGCTTGCCTTATACCTTTTTGTGTGTTGATCCTCTTTGTCTATTGGTCCAATTTAAATGGCCTGATAACAAAAAACTGCTTGCATCGACGTTGGCGCATTTTTAATTATTCAAAATTGAAATATTACCAAATATAATCCAAAATCAAAATACTACCTATATAATCCATCAAATAATGTTAATGCCATAAAACGTACTATTGCATCATATTTAATTAATGTCATAAAGCGCACTATTGCATCATATTTAATTATAATAATGGGAATATTTTTACTTTATCACCTTTTGGTGATAAAGTAAAAATTATTATTTTTTAATAAATGATAAATTATTAAAAAAATTATTATATTATTTTTTTCTTTTCTAGAATTTGCCATTAAATGTAAAAATATAATTGAAGCCTCCAAAAGAGTTTATAGATAATTTTTTATATTTATATTTGTATTTATCAGGGGCGGATACAGGTTGTAAAGATAGGGGGGGCACAAATTACTGCTGTCAGTAACCTCGTCACATTGTACGCCATATAATGGTCCCATCGGTTGGGTTTTAATTTGTTAACACTTGTTCATACTGTTCTTCATCACATCTAGTGAATATCTGACCTGAGAATGGATCGACATAATTATAAATAAAAAATTAATCAAATTTTAGGGGGGGGCACGAGCCAGCTGTGCCCCCCTCTAAATCCGCGCCTGTTTATTATAACATATTTTATTATAATTTATTATAATTTCATTACTAATTTTACTATTGCTATTAGTTGTGAAATTAAATATTAAAATTTTTCAAAAGTTCTTTAATAAGATTCTAGCAAGAGATTAAAAGGGTGGTTGGTTTACAACTAGAGGTTAGAGGTTGATCAAAAAACCAGAGGTTAGAGATTAGTCCCAAACGAGAATTTAGAGTTTTAGGAAAATTAACAGTTCTTCCACACAAAAGTTATATAAATCAACTAAAAGAAAAAATCCAATAATACTGTAAATTTGTAAAATCTTATTTATATTCACATTAGGTTGTTACATAAGTTTCTTTTGCCATTCATTTGTTTGTTTATAAACCACATTTTCCACATGCATCTAAAAAGAAAGAAAAGATTGTAAGTTAAATTTTTAGCAACATTTTTACGAAAAAAAATAACTAAAAAAAATATACCGGTGCATGATTTACAACACTTATCGTGCATTCTTTTACGTTGCGCCAGATCACTTGCTAAACAATAACCTTGTTTTAACCATATTCCGCAGTTTGGTTCAATATCTGCACAACCTGGTGCAACAGTAACTGGCTTTACTACGAAAATAAAGAATTAAAGAAGACATATAGCTGGTAATTTTGTTTTAACGTTAAATTCAAAAAAGTCAAATTAAGACTAGAAAATGTTTTTTAAAGGTAATAAGTTAATAACGGTTTATATTACTATTACATTAAACAATACTGTCCTGTCAAAAGAATAATATTTTCCTGTCAGAATAACAATACTGTCCTGTCAGAAGAACAATACTGTCCTGTCAGAAGAACAATATTGTCCTGTCAGAAGAACAATACTGTCCTATCAGAAGAACAATACTGTCCTTTCAGAAAAACAATATTGTTCTATCAAGATAGAAGAAAACAAGTCACCAAAATGCGATTTTGCAAAAAAAAAACCAAAACAACGTTTATTATCAAAACCTTTCCATACGTGATCATAGGTTTCACAGTGAAACTATGAATGAATGATAAATGTATGATAATTTATGTTTACCATTGTAAAACTTGGTTGTAAGATTTAAAACAAAAAAGTTAAAGTAGAAAAGTAGACTCTGCTTTATGGCATAATAGTACTGACCTTCTCCTTCTTTACAAGAATACATTTTATTAATTTGAACAATATCTGTTGAGCTAAAGCCGAAAATTCTGTTATAGTTGTCAATGAGCTTTTGCTTTGAAGGATCTTTTGTTGTTATTGTTTTAGTGTTAGGCTTTGCAAATGCTGTTGAACTAAATTACAAAATATAAAAACAATTTAATAAATTTAATTGAAACATTTATAAAAATATTTGTAATTAAACTCATGGCTATTATCTATATTAAATATTCTTACTGTTACCTATAATGCATCATGGAACTTAAATCATATGGTGTACCAAGGGAATCAACTTCGTTTGAAATTGCGAAAGCATACGCCCATGCTGTTAAATGTAAAACAATAATTACAATTGCCAATTACAAAATTTTATTATGAGGTTTAATTGAGTAATGCAACGTTATACTTTTTATTTTAGATTAATTATTAATGTAATTTTTTAATTGGTATTTATAATTTGTCAAACATTTTTTTTTAAAAAAAAGTAGCAATGTTATTTTATGTAGTTAATAACATAAAATGTATTGTTTCGATACTGTTCTTTATCGTCAAAGTTGTAATAAATGCTTACGCCCATCAATATTATTGGTATGAATTATAACATGTTGATCACGATCCGGACGACATTGTTCGTGTTGAAGACCTAAATTGTTAAAATTTATATTTTTTTAACAAAATTTCAATTTGTGTTGACAAATAGTTTTAGTTAAATAGTAATAAAAAATAATTTGAATTTAAAAAAATGTTTAACAGTAGAAATTAAAAAGTTTTTTTTACCGATGCTGTGGCCAATTTCATGAAGAGCAGTTCCTTTATCAAGACAACCAGCACCTAATGATATTCTGTTTACGCCATACATTCCAACCGGTGAGTTACATCTAAATATATATATATACATATGTATATATATATATATATATATATATATATATATATATATATATATATATATATATATATATATATATATATATATATATATATATATATATATTAAACAGCATGACAATATTATTGTGACATGCCAAAATTAGCGACATCTTAACAACATTGTTTTTATATAGTTATAACTAAATTTGCTGCGAGTTGTTGTTAATTAGTTGAATGAGCTTGTTGTCAAATTCTTTTTTCTTATACAAATGTTGGCTGCCAATATTTCACCTGGAATTTTCAATTATAAAAAAATTGACAAACTTATGCAAAATATATGTAAAAAAGATTTTGTCTTTTATACTTTGAACCTTTAGTTATTTAAAAAACATAAAAGTTGTAGTATTAGCAATTTCGTTTACCAACATTAGTGTTTAACTTATTCTAAAAGTGCAAAATTCAATCAGTTTTTTTTGTAATGAACGTTGTATATTTATATTAAATACAATTTTGCCATCATTGATGAAAAAAATTCAAAGTAAACTTGAAGGTGTTTCTAATTTAGCTATCTATGGTAGAGACTATGGTGAAGACTATCTATGGTAAAGACTTTTCAGCATATTGTTAATGCCAAATTAGAGTATTTTCATTTCTTACCCAGTACCACTGAAGAAAGATATATAATTTGACTCTCCATTTCGTGGAGTAAATCTTAAACACGTAAATTTGTGGTAGTCTGCAATTGCTGCATTTACTGCATCTCTTCCTTTTTGACCTGAAATATAATGACTTTAATTTTTTGAGCTAGTATTTTGATTTAACTATTATTTGTAAATTTATTATAAGTGATTAACAATAAATAAGAATTAATAATGATACTTAAATTTTTTTTACCTAAAGAATTTTCGAAAGCATATGGTATTTTTCCATTTGGCCAACGTCTGTTTCTGATTGAACCGAAAGGACTGCTTCTATTTTGTACCCTTTCCCATTGTTCAGGTGACAATTGTATATCTCCCTGATAAAAACCAGGGGCTAAATTACATTAAAACATAGTTAAAAATAAAATTAACTATATATATATATATATATATATATATATATATATATATATATATATATATATATATATATATATATATATATATATATATATATATATATATGTATATATATATATATATATATATATATATATATATATATATATATATATATATATATATATATATATATATATATATATATATATGTGTGTGTGTGTATAGAGAGAGATGTAAGTCGTTTTTTTGGTTCTTGTTTTTATGCCAAAAAAAATTGAGGACTTCGTTTTTTGGTTGTTGGTTTTTTTGCGTTTTTGCCTTAAAAACTACTCTTTTTGCATTTTAAACACTGAAATGGTTTTAAAATTTATTTTTGGTGATATTTATTAAATACTTGTTTTAATACTTCCATTTACCATATTTTTAGTAATGTTTTAGTTTAGCTTAACTACCTTTTTTTTCACAAAATTACAAATTACTGTAACAAGGTCTGTATGTTTTGCAACGTCAGACTCAATACATAGCTTAGCCAGTTCGTTAAGGCAATCCTGACTCATGGTAGACCTGAGATAATTTTTAAAAGTTTAAGCTTGCTGAAGCAAATAAATGTTTTTTCTCAAAATTGGCTTTGTAAATATTTTTAATGTGTTTCTTTTCTTGCACAAAGTCTTCACTTATAATATCTTTAGAATTTTTTTTTCACAAAATTAACTGCTTCATATATTAATTCCTCCTCTGACATTTTTTGGTTGTTCCAAAGAAATCTTAAGGTTTCAAAAATCTGTTTTACGGCGCTAAAATAAACTGTAGGTCCTCCGATTAACCAATTTCTACCTAAAAAGTTTGCATTTAGAATAGGGATTCCAAAGGAGATTCGCCTGCCTCACTTATTTTACTCACATTTTTATCGTAGAATTGTTTTCCGCTATCGTTTCTAAACAATTTTATTTCTATATCAAGGCTACGCTTAGCTTCATTCCACATTGCTTTCCAAGTGTCACAACATTGCTTTCCAACTGTCACGACATTGCTATTCAACTGTCACAAATAGCTACTAATTGTGAAAGTAAGCTTTCTATATTTGAAACTTCCATATCTGAAGTTGCGTTACTGGACTTACTTTACATTCTCATATTTTATAAAGTTGTTTTTTTAATTTAATACGATTGCTTTAGCGAGTTAGCATAGCATAAGCGTGGACTAACCAATGACAAGTTTTATAACTGGTTTTAATGTCTTTCTTTCTAAATAGAAAGTTACTAATATTAGTAACTTACCACTACATCGCATTTACAAAACCAAAATATTCAGAAGTAAAAAAATATACGTCAAAAGACGGTTTTAGTTAATCATAGTTCAAACCATCAAACCCTTTACATAAATCACATTCAACAAAAAAACTTTGTTAAAATTAAAACATATATATATTATTCATGGGCATTGGCACACCAACTGCACCCCCCTCTCATAGGACCTGATATAGTCAATTGTTTTTCTTTAACTTGATATATAAACAAAAATTTTAAAATGGTATTGATATGACGTCACGATTGACTCATTCGTTTGAAAATATTTTATTTGAGTATGCTATTTATAAAGATATAAGGCCGGGTAAATAAAAAAAAGGAATTGCTTTTACTTATCAATTGGTCAGTTTTACGTGAATAAAAACTTTAACAGTTTTGAAAAAATGTTTATTTACGTAAAGCTGACCAATTACTGAGTAAAAGCAATTGCTTTTTTTTATTCACCCGGCCTATAATGCTTCCTATAAAATGTAAGTCGTCGAATTCGTTTGAATTTTTTTTTTTTACTCAAGTAAAAAAACTTAATACAAACATTTTAATTAGGGTGAGCAAATTTTATACAGAGCTAGTGTCTCTAGAAATATATTTTTTTAATTTTTGGTGTCCTTACGGTTTTATCATAGAACACCGCGGAGGAGCATTTAATAGGAAGTTCACGTCTCCTTCCCAACCGATGTTGCAAAACTTGGGGTTTGAACCACGGTTCTTACGTTTCTGAGGCAAGTGCGCTACCACTACACCACGGCTGCTTTATCCAGTTCAAAAGTTCTCAACTGTTGAAGAATGTGAAAAAAAATTATTTCTCAACAAATGCTAAGAAAATAAATTTCTTAGCGTTTGAACGCGGTACTTCAACAAATATTTTGACTTCAAATAGCCCTCAAGAGTGGGTTTTGTCACTCGCTAAGGAGGATGCTAAAAAGGTCTATAAAAAAAAAAAAAAAAGTCCGCATATTATTAAGTAACTTTCTTTTTTAAATTTTTGTGTAGGTAACCTAACCCTAACCCTAACCCTAACCTACTTAAGTGTAATAATCAGGTTCATATACGTATAAATACGTATAATAGTCCATTTCATTCGTCATTATAATAGCCCAATTCTGGATAATAGTTAATTTACAAAAGTATATTTTTGGAAAAAAGTCCCAAGGGGGGCTACTATCCCATGCCCCCACCTCTCCCTAAAACCCGCGACTGATACTTCAGTAAGGGTAAAAATAAAAATAATTAAAAAATCGCGTCACTGAATCTTAACCTCGATGGTTTGTAAGAAATTTTCATTTCTTATAAAAACCACAAAAAAAAATTGTTTAGGCAAAGAAACTTATTAAAAATAAATGTAAACAGAAGTTAAAATATACTATTTATAGAGCAAATCAAACCCTAGCTCTATTGTCAGAGATAAGTTATGAATTAATTTTATGTAGTCATTACTTACTTTCCATCTGCTTGACCCATCCTGCAGATAAGGCTAAAAGACTTGAACATACGATAGCAGTCAATAAAAACATGATAAGCTCTATATAAATCTGATTTTTTTTTCATCTTATAAGTATGTTTTTTTATTGTTACCACCTGTTTCTTGAGCTAACATAAAACCCAACAAGTAAACGGCGGTGATTATTATTCGTTTAAATTCTGTTTCAAATGCATTTATTTATTTGAACATCTGCTAAAATTGTTTGTACTACCCAAATATTTAGTGTGGAGACAACTCAAGCAATTCTAACCAAATCATTACCAAACAAAATTTTCAACAATGTTTAATAAGTAAAATATTTCCTTATCTCCTTTTAAACGAAAATCTTATTTTAAAGAATTAAAGTTTTTTTATTTGTCTTTATAAATAGTAAGGGCTGGTAGATCTAGCAAATAAATAACGGAATCAATGCTGATAATTTTTTTACGTTAAGAGTTGGTAAAGCTTCAGTAAGTAATACTATTTTAAAATATGTTTCTAATTAAATTTACTATAAAAAGCGTATAAATTTTCTCTATTAATTTGCTTTATTTTATATGTTACATTTATCTGTTAAGTTTGGAATTCCAACCAAAAAATTAGCTCGCAACTGTCAATTTTAAGTCAAAAAAACTTTTGTTGTTAATAATGCGATATCTTCTTTCACAAAATCACAATACGTTTTAACTAAGTATTTAAAACCCTGAAAACGATAAAGTATATGTACTTTATCGTTTTCAGCAAATTCAAAACTAAATTAAACTCAACAGCAAAATGTAAAAACTGTCTAAATAAAACAGCGTTATGAAGGTAATTAGGGGTTGACCAAAAATTTCGTCACGCAGATTTTACTGTTTTGGAAACCTAATCTTTGCCCTCTAGTAAAAAATCTTCACGCTTTACTAACTCTATCCTCATACCGCTAAAGTTATGCAACAATTTTTTAACATCTTTTACTTCACCCCCATCCCCTAATGAACAAAATATTTTTGTTAAAATTATTTTAAAAATGTTTTAAATTTTATTAGTTGCTTTTTAATTAATTAATTAATATATCGCGTCGTTAGAATTATCTTCAGATCTTTAAGTTTCATAATATAAAACGATTTAAAATATAAAAATTTTAGGAGACGGCATAAAAATATTTTTGCGTAATTTATCTTTTTACTACAACTTTTTATTTGTAACATTGGTTTCAATACAGTAAAAAATATTATATTGAGGTCTAATATTAAATCTAGGCCTAGGGGCGCCAAACAAAAAAGGGCGCATGGTATTTTTCTTTGAAAAGTTGTAGTTTTTAGTGCAAATATGTAATTTTTTAAACTTTATCACGAACTTTTGAACGAAAATTAATCATATGTCTGAGGGCTCCGTCAATTAATTGGACACCGTCAGAGCAGTCGTAGCGCAGTAGTTAGTACGCTTACCTCAATAGCTAGAAACCTGTGTTTTAACGCCACCTCTAGACAAGTTTTATAACAATGGTAAGGAAAAAGGCGTAAACTTTCTTTTAAATAGTCTTCCACGGTGCTCTGTGATAAGACCGTTAGAACTTCTTAGGGCACCTAAAAGAATAATAAATAAATAAAAAAAACTTAACAACGTCACAAATGGAAACTTCTCTGGTACATAATATACATAACATAAAAATACATAAATAACTCAAAGTTTTTTCAAAAAGTGGAGATATAACAAGTAATTCTAACGTCGCGATATTTCAATAGATATAAATTTTAAATTTTATAATATAATTTTATTTTTTTGCACTCCTATGGCTCTAAAAAACTATTTAAATTAATTTTCTAAAAAACTCTTTAAATTAATTTTTATAAAACTCATTAAGGTGGTACTAAAGCTATTATTAAAATGTTAAATAATGTATTAAAAAGTTGCAATTTAGAAGTTTTATATATAAAAAACTAAAATATACAAATTTTAAAATAATTTGTGAATAAAATTATTCTTTGCCTCGCTTACCCAAATCTAAAAACACAATAAAAAAAAATACGCAGAATGCAATATCTCAAGATAGGGTCATTTATTTGCTCCCAAACATAACATAGGTCCTATAATGATTTAGGAGTTGTACTAGAATCATCTACTGTATGCATATAGTTTAGGAGTAAACTTTACTCATGCATATTTTAGTTTTTTATATATAAAACTTCTAATTTGCAACTTTTTGATACATTATTTAACATTTTAATAATAGCTTTAGTACCACCTTAAATTAATTTTCTAAAAAACTTCTTAAATTAATTTTCTGTAAAACTCATTAAATTAATTTTCTAAAAAACTGTTTAAATTAACTTTCTATAAAAATCATTAAATTAATTTTCGATAAAACTTTTTAAATTAACAGTGATTATAGAGACCATTATTGTAAGAGAATATTTGTTTTATTATAAATTTATTTTTAGTATTTTTAAAGTCAACGCAGTATTGTAGATATCACTGTTTCACAAAAGTAGAGTAACAGATTTAAATTGTGGAAAAGCACATTTTTATTTTTGTAACATTTTATGTTTTTAACTATTATTGTTGTTTAAAAGTAAATATTTATTGGGAACAGCGAGGCTGCGCTCGTTGTTCCCAATAAATTGATCTTATTTTTTCTGAGAATTTCTTTTAATTTTTTTCTTGAGAAACATTCTGTTGAAGATACTATGGATATAAAACCACTCCTGTTGTTGTTGATGCTGCATAGTACCATAATCAAGAAGTTTTTAATACGTATTTTTAGAATTGTTAAAATATAATATTTTTCCTTTTCGGAAAAAACAAACAAAATACGACGCAATCTTGTTAAGAAAGTGAAGATTACAAGGAATTCCGGAAAATATGCAGTTTCAGCATATGATTAACTGATTGGAAAGGAGTATAAAAAAGCATTAATATATCCATAAACTGATTATGAAAAGTAATAAAAATATTTGTTTAGTGTTTCGAGAAGTCGAAAATAAGTATCTTTATTACTTTTCTATACATTTAGTTTTTTATCAGTTTTTTTTTTTTAAATGGAGGCCGATTAAAAGATTTTCCTGAAAATTTAAGTCTCAGTGATAAAGATACCTACACAAAATACTATGATCAAAAATATTACTTCAACATTACTTTTTTCAAAATACACAATTTGAAATTCAAAAACTATTCATCTGTTAATCAACCGCGTGAAACTCATTCTGGTGGAGGCGTAAGTGTTTACGTTATGCAAAATAAAGTCAATCGACTTTAATTTGTGTAAGAATCTTAGTGACACTAAGAGTCTTACGCAAATTAGAGTCGACTTTTTGTGTGAATTTCGACTTAAATTTAAATTTCACACTATGTTAGTGTGAATGAAATAAACTTGTGAGTCATTATGCATAGAATTAGTTAACATTTTTTGTTAAAAATCTAATCTTCAAGACTATTTATAGATAACCAGGTAGTAAATTTAAAACACTCAAAACTCATTTTATTGTCACCTGAGAATTGATTTGTTCAACAGACCAATTCACATATTGTTGTAAAACGCAGTTAAAGTTTAAGAGGGTATTACGGTTCTTGCATTTTATTTATATCTAGGCGTTTCAATGTATGATCTTTACTTGAAAATTATTAATATAATACTCAAAGTCTGTTTATCTAAAATTAACAAGATATTCGCGTATCTTATTAGGACATTGAACAAAACTGCACTAAATGCAAAATCTTTAACAATTTTATAGGATATTGAACAAAATATCAGTATAATTAACAAAGCAACATAACATTGCATATAATATATAATCTTGTTTGCTATAACAATTTTGCAAAAGAAAATAGCATTAAAAGAAGAAACTCAAAAAGGTTTCTCAACCCAACATATAGGTTACGTATCAAAAATTTGAAGAACTATATTATAATTTTAATATTATCTTTTAAAGAACCTTATTAGCAATCTTTTTTGCTTTTTTCTTTTCTTTTATGAATCTTTTGGTTTTTAAAATCAAATTATAAAATTGTTTATCTATTTCATTGGTAAAATACTTGAGTATTTGGGTTGAATCTCTTTTATTTTTCAATTGTGAAAAGTGCTCAGTTTTTAGAGCCTAATTTTTTGATAATTGCTTTAATTCAAAAAGTTTTTCTTTCCTTGTATTTCGTATATACTCAATTCTAACAAATTTAAAGCCTTCATTGTAAAAATGTTTAAAAATTGTGCTTTTATTTTATACAACTTGTTTTATTTTCGTGTGAGGAATTTTAGATTTTAGATAAATCTGCATCGTTTTGAAATTACTTAACTTTGTAGACATTTTTTATCAAATTTATCGGACCAATTGAACTGTGTACTTATACTTTTTTTTTTAATATAACGCTCTGTAACACAGTGTATTGCTCTGTAACACAGTGTATTGCTCTGTAACACAGTGTATTTTTTTTTCTATAATCTTAATGTTGCTGCTGTCTTCTGACTTTAAAAAATTAAGTAATGCTAAACTCACTATTGAATTTTTATTTTGTGGAATGCAAGTGTCCGACTAAAAAAAGATTTTATTAATATAACGTCTTTTACTATATTATAATAAATTTAATAATACCTCGCTTAACTAAATCGCTCTTCTGGTTTGTTGGGAAACTGGCTATATGCTTAATAGAAGGCTACATCGATTTTAATACTCCAGTTCTTCTTCTTTGTTAGCCATGTTTTCAATTTCTTTTCTTTCAGCCAGTTGTTTAAAAATCTAAAAATCATTAATTGATATATACTAATTAATTGACATTCGAAGATAGTTCTATAACGCCGAACTGATATAAGTGGATTTCTGTAATACCTGCGTAACGATAGAAGCTCCGTTAAAGTTGATGAATAAATAGATACAGTGCCTTCTTTATTTAAATGCCAAAAAATTGTGATAGAATTGCTGAAACGATTAAACGCTGATATGTTAAATTTGATTGAGTACCTGAGTCTGTAAGTAATACTCTAAGTATTTAAGAGGAACTTGATCGTATTATTAAAGAAGAACAATCTCCGATGCAACCAGTTAGACATAAGACAGTGTTATCAAAAGTTCAAAATGAAATGACACTATTTGTAAATGGTGGGAAACGTAGCGATTATTTCGAAAAAGCTTATTCGTTTCTATTGACC